GTTTTTGAAGAGGTGCGAAATTATTATGATCGTCTTAGTTTGTTGTTGAGGCGTTGTTAGGTTTTTGTTTAATTTAGTTTTTAGTTAATTTATGAAATGAAAAATTCTGAAAGGCAAAAATGCACAGCTGACAAATTTCTATTTTATTTGTTTGCTGCCAGAGTTAGTAAATCCTAGAAAAATACATGTGCCAATTAGGGAAAAGAGATTGTCAAGAATTTTGCACGCTTAAAAAAATGTGTAATATACAGGGTGTTTCTAAATACATGCGACAAAATTCAGGAACTGAGTGCTCGTATGAAATTAAGATGGGTCTTTTCTATAACAAAATTTCCTCAGCCCACCCCTTTTCGAGATATCACCCTTAAAAAGTGGTGACTAAAATTGAGTTTTTATTTTTTTCTAAAATTTCAGTAAAGCTAGAAACTTGAAATTCTGTAATCGCAAAGGACTAACCACGGGTATTTTTTCAATATTTATGTTACATTATAGGGGGGTGAAATTAGCAACACTTACTTTATTTCATATCAAAACTTTTTTTTCGAGATGAACTTTTATGCAATCCTTGATTTATTTAATTTTTTTTTATTCTTGAATTTTTTCCCCAAAACTAATAGCTTCAGAGAAAAAAATTAACACCCTAATTAATTATTATATTTTTTTAATAAATTGAGTGGAAAACAGTGTAACGGGCTTGTAACTATCGTATCGTACACTCTGTCATTATTCGTTTTTTGCAATAATTTACACCAGTTTACACTAGAAGATAGCACTTAACGAAGCGTTTTAGCCACTAATTTTGGCGACTTTTAAGAAATCATTAACAAGACATTAGAGGCTTAAATTTGGGGATTATATTAAGAATAGTGCTGTCGACGAATGCATTTATTTTCATTAGGATATTTCAAAATTAAAGCCCTTTTAGTTTTTTTGGGAAACTGGAAGGAATTAAAACATTAAAATATATGCATATTATAGATATTATTGCCTAATTTATTTTGCCAAAATTTAAATATTTTGAGATATTCTTGTCCGATAATTATAAGGGGTATGAACACCTTAAGATTAAAAGAGAATTAACTTTAATTCATGAGATGCAAAGCATCATAATTGTCGCGTCACAAAAACCACCTGCTGCCAAGAGAAAATTTTGATTCAACAGTATTGTATATTTTGTGTTGTAAAAGAGAAAAAATTAACATTTCGTGTTTTAATAGTTATTTTTTTAATTTAATAATCTATGTGAAACAAATTTTTTTTTAATACAGACTTTAAAAAATTGTTATATTAATATACTTATTTAATTGTACTTATATTTGTTGTTCCTTTAATACAATAAATACAATTTACCTATCTCCAATTCATCACTTTCCGTATCCATATACCTAGGGTCCGATTACAATTAGAAAAACACCGCTACGTCATAACTATTATTTCGAATTTCCAATATACAGGGTGTCCCGAAATTAGACGGTCATATTTTAACAGCGTAATCTACATCCTACAAGTATTAAAAATTAAAAAAAACCGAATTCTAAAACGTGCAGATGCCGTCACCCAGAGCTGGGACGAATCCTCGAAAAAATGGATTCGAATCACGAATCCGAATCACGAGATGTGATTCGAAATTCGAATCCTTTTTTTCGGATCACGGATACGAATCACGAATCAGTGTTATACTGTGATAATAATTATATTTGCTTTCGAAACTAATACTGTTTTATACCTCGGTACTAAAATATTTAACGCACTTCTGGTGGAATTTAAAAACCTAAATTCGATAGGTCTTTCTTTATGGATCTAAATTGCAATAATGGATATTAACTAAACAAGGATAAATATTTTAAGATTTTATTAATTTAAATATAACTAAAATCTAAAATCATTTAGCTAAAAAGAACTTTACTCATTTGCAATTATCCAATTATTTATGTATATGATAATTATTTATAAAATATTCAATGCTGTAGCTAGTTTGTATCTATAATAAATAAAAAACAAGTATTAGAAATTAAAAATTTAAAAAAACCGACTTCAAAATGTGCAGATGCCATCATCACATCTTAACCAAATTTATATGGAACCATCCCTGAGGTACCCCACTAACAAAAAAAGAATCATATGAATCGGACAAGGTGGTAAAGCATTATCGCTAAACATACATAAAAAATGAAGAGTTTGAGGATTTTGTCATGGACCCAATTATTAGATTTTGACCAAATTTATATGGGACCACCCCTGAAGTACCTTTCTAACAAAAAAAATCATTAAAATCGGACACCGTGTTAAAGAATTATCGCTGAACATACATAAAAAAAATAAAAAAAATATTGCGACGAATTGAGAACCTCCCTCCTCCTTTTATGAAGTTGGTTAAAAATAGGAGTAAAAGTTTATATAAACATAGGTCCGAAAACGTTTCGTTTTCGAGATACAGGGTGTTACAAGTGAAGTCCAGATGAAATATTTTCTAAAATTTCTTTAGTTACCGGTTTTTCAAAGTTAAAAAAAAATAAAATTTCTAATTCTACAGACCTACTAATTATTGTTTACACTTTCGAATAAGGTAACATGGCGCGTCTAGCGAGATGCAACAAATGTAGCTTTATTATACAGAAAATATTGGTTTTCCAAATTTTATAGTCAAAAAATCTGATGTGTCCAACACATGACTTTCCTATCTAGTTATTATAGGCTTTTTCTGGTTATTTTGTACAACTTATTGCAGTACCTCTATAAATGTTTAGAGGATAAACTAAATATATACATTTTCCACATACATCTATCTACCTCGAAACATTTTTCTATAGTTATTCATTGAAAACGAAAATACTGAAAAATTTAAATTTAGCAATTTTCCTACAATTTTTCCATTACGGTCCATTTTAGAAAAATCATGTGTAAACAAAAATTATAGAGATCGATATCGCAAACAACTTTTAGTTTAGTTTAGAATTTTGCACATTTTGTCAAATTTCTCGAATACGGACCATTTCAGGAAATTTTGACATTAAGCAAAAATTATAAATAATAATATTAGAAGTAACTTTTATTTGAATAATTTTCTTCTCCAAACATAAATAACAGATATATTCAATAAAATATAAAAACGGCCTCCCATAAAGTACCCCCCCCCCCCAGATGTTCCGACTTTGTCCAAAATCTAATTATTTCACGTCAGGCCGAAATAAAACTTAAGTTAAAAATTTAGTGTTTTTCTGTGTATCGGTTCGTGAGTTATGGTAGATATAGACACACACGGCAATTTTGCCCTAAGCTCCCCCTAATTTACCCACCTAACGGCCATATGCACCATTGTTCAGCTAAAGCCTTGGTTTCTTTGAACACTTCGTCGCGGTGAGCGGACAGTCCGTCAACCGTCGCGTTTTGACGATTTTATCCAACCAGAGTATTTAAATGGGAATGGTTTTCTTGAATCCGCTTAGCTGAGCAGGACGGCGTCATGCCGTCGATTTGTCGCGAAGAGTCGGTTGATATCTGTTGAGTTTGATATCAGCGGAATCGTCGGCGTGTGCGGAGACTATATTGTTATTAATTTTAAAACAATGAGTGACAAATTCACACATACAGATGACATCATGACTTTATTTTTAGGTTTCTTGGAAATTATGTCCTTTATAAAACTCAACACGAATTCAAAAGATCTGTAGAAAGTCTAAAATACTCCCTAAATTTGGTTTCATTTCCAAAAAGCCTCCGCTGCACAGTGATATTAAAGGCGCCTTCTGTACCGCGACACAAAAACAACTCATCAACTGGCTTATTGGAAACTTTGACGGTTGCAATTGCCAGTTCCTCTTGTTCTTCCTCTTCCAACAATAATAACAACGCAAACAATTTATTTGCATCCATTTTAGTACCTTTCGATTACATTCATAATACATAAACAGCACGTACAGACATAGAGAAAGTATCATTTTCTATATTTTTTAACAAACCACCTCGGGCAAAAATTGCTGTCCTCAGCGGTCGACGGACTGTTCGCTCACCGCGACGGAGTGTTCAAAGAAACCAAGGCTTAAGTCTTCTGTCATCTAACAGTAGTATAAAAAATAACAGTGTGTTAACAGAATTTGCTATGCACCATCTATTTACCATCTTCAGTTAGAAATCAGTCTGTATTACGTATATATTACTGTTCATATCCTATACAACCTTATCTAGCCCTTCAAAACAAACAAGCAAAATTAAAACAGTCTGATAAGTAAAATTAACAGGCCAAATTTGGTTTGTAACATTAACAACGCCTTTAACAGATTGTTAGTCGTATTTTGTGATGGTGAATACAAAATTGTCAATTTAACAGTCAGTTATGTAGTTAACTCTCTGATAACTATTAACAGAAGAATGGTGCATATGGCCGTAAGAAGATGATCAATAACTGGGGTTTAGTCCAATAAATGAAGCGCAAAAAGGTAAGTATTTGTAACAAATTTTACCTAATTATCTTTAAACGTTTAGAAAATATTTACAAAAGTGTGGTATCAGGACTTCACCTTTAACACCCTGTATCTCGGAAAAGAAAAGTTTTCGGACCTGTTTATATGAACTTTTACTACTATTCTAGGATGTAGATTACGCTGTTAAAATATGACCGTCTAATTTCGGGACACCCTGTATATCATCTATAACTATCAATAAATAAAAAATATTTGAGATGTTTGGTTTAAAAATAGTATTCCTACATTCGTATATTAACAAGCCACTAACCCCCAGTAGGCGGCGATAGCCAACGAATTATACCTGAATTGTAATCGGACCCTTCAGGGTACGACACACAACATTGCCAAATTTATGTAGCGAACAAGGTTCCAAATACTTTAAAGGGAGATTCGTGCGGTGTGACGTCAGAAGGGACTGGATTGCTCTTAAGAACTACTTATCCTTTTATGTTCGACACTCTCTAGGTTATATTTGTTTACTTTTATTTGCTTTTTTTTTTTCAATTTTATATTTGTCACTGATTCCGTCTATTTTAGGTTGGCCAGCTCCTAAATTAAAAGATGTCGATCTCAGCCAATCTAGAGCGAGAGAAATTTACAGAGAAGTCATTAAGATGATGTGGAAAATGTACAACAAATGTAAATTAGTGCACGCCGATCTCTCAGAATTTAACATGCTCTATCAGAATGGCCAACTGTTTATTATAGACGTTTCTCAATCCGTCGAACATGACCATCCTCATGCTCTCGACTTTTTAAGAAAAGATTGCACGAATATAACGGATTATTTTAAGAAAAAAGATGTTGCTACACTGAATATAAAGCAGTTATTTGATTTTATTACGGATCCAAGTATTAATGGTGATAATATTGAAGAATGCTTAGATATTCTTGCTGAAAAGGCAGGTGAACAGGCGGAGTTGACATCTAATGAGCAGGTAAAGTGAATTTTTTGATGTCTGTTAATATAGAGCATTGTACTAGCCAAGTAATTTCTGCTTTGTAAAAATTCGACTCTAGTGTGTCATATTTTTTAAGTCCTACACATGATGTGAAACGAAAAGATGGAGTTTTGCCTGTCTAAATTGTTTGTTTTGTCCTTAGATCTTTAAATTATTGACTGCTTCAGAAGATGGAAAAATTCAATTGTTCGAAACATAAATTAATAAATAAAAACTTGTGTATGACCGATTTAACCAAATAACTTTTATTAAGCATTCAAATTGATTTTTAGGTTGATGAGGAAGTTTTCAAACAAGCTTATATTCCGAAACGACTAACAGAAGTCGTCGATTTCGAAAGAGACATAAGTCAAGCAAAGGCCGGTATTGCAGACAACTTGGTATACAAAACCTTGGTCGGTTTAAAATCAGATCTAAGCGGAACAATACAAAAACCGGAAATTCTGGACAACAGCCCACAAAAATCAAATAGCAATAATTCTGAAGAAAGCGATAATGAAGAAGAGTCGGATTCGGAAGAAGATGGAAGTAAATTTGTAGATTCTTCCCGGCCAAAGGATGAAACATTAGAAGAGAAAAAGGCTAGAAAGAAGGCTGTCAAAGAAGAGCAAGCCGAAAAAAGGAAAACAAAGGTGAAAAAATACGTAAAGAAGAGGAAAGAAAAAGTTTCTAAAAAGTAATTTCTTTAAAATCCGATCTAAATTATATCAAACGTTATATTAAATTTATTGAAAACACATGTATATATATTTTGGTTGATAGTTAAATAAACGTTGACCTAGTCAAAGTACTTTTTTCTTTAAAATCAACTGATAAAGTATCGGACCTGCTGTTGTCCAAATAAAAAAGGACGTCTGCCATATTTAAGAAACTGTATATCGTACAGATTAAAGATTTGTGTTCGGCGAGAATTGGTTAACACCGACCGATATAAGAGAAACACCTCTTAGCGACGTTGTCGACTACATTAAATCTGTAGGCTGGCTCACGAGCTAGGAGGTGCCTATCTACTTAGGAGGATGCACAATGGGCCTAGTGAGGCATAAGTGCCGTGGATTAACCCATCCTCCACACGTTACAGGTACAGATTGAGGTTTTTTAACAAAAGTCCTTATAAATCGCCTGGGAGTTCCTAACTTTGCCACTAGGAGGCGTAATGCCTATGGCAATGATGAAAAATGCCAAATTAGTTTTACTTGGTTTTGACTACTGACTCGTTTATTAGAACAGAAGTAAAAGTTGGAAAGGCTTCTGCCAGTTCTCCCACTTTATACACATAAATTGACAGGTTTGCCGCGGATCTCACCGAAGTGGACGCGATACATTGGCGTAGAAAATTATTTTATAGATGTTAATAACAATTTCGAGTAAATAGTTTAATAAATTGTAAATAGCTATTGAAATTTTGTAAAATTATGATTTGAATATTATAATACATGTTTAATAATTATTTATAGTCCATAAATACATGCGATTGTCCGGTTCCGCCGATAACAATTTAAAATTACTTATTCTATGAAACGACACTGGCAGGTAAACATTACTGCGAAATTCTCGAAGTCGTCCGACGTGGTTTGACGTTTACCCCCTCTCTACCTACCAAAAGCCTTTCCAACTTTTACTTTCTCTCACATACTTTGATTACTATACGGGGCAAGATAGAGGTCCGACACGTCCAACATAGGCGCGGCCATTTTGATTCCTATGACACAGTTTATAGCTAAAGAATCAGATCGCTCACTCTGCGTCGGCACTTTTGATCTCAATGTTCCAGTTCATACACTGCGCAACTCGGATAATACAATATATGACAACCGCCTATAATAAAACAGCAGTCTTCTGCGTATCCTGAATTTGTATCCCTGGAGTGGATGTTATTTTGGAACTTTCAACTGGTCCGAGTGAGCTAACTGATTCTTTAGCAATAAACTGTGACTCCAAAAATAATATTCACTGACAGCAGCAAGTAAAATATCAGGTGCGTTTTAATCATCCGCTCCTGCTTCCGGAATTGTCGGTTCAGTCGTTTTAACCTGTCAGATTAAAACAAGAAAACCGACAAAGCAGAAGCGGATGATTAAAACGCACCTATTAAAAATATTGCGCCAAGATGTAGGCAACACGTAATAAGGGTTCAAAATGGCGGAGTTTTCTATCTCCTTTTAAAAGGCACTCAGAAAGCTGCGCAGTGCGACCATTCTCCGTATAGTAAAAGAAAATCAAAATATGTTCTTTCTCTATATTGCTTATGAGCATACGCCATCTAGTGGCGAAGATGGAAACTTGAAACTAATTTCCAGCGATTCATCTTGGCCACTTAAGTTCAACATTTTTTCCCAAAATTGTATGATTCGTACTTTCTGAGATACGGCCAGCGTACTTTCTTATTTGAACACCCGGTAGACTATCATTGTGTTGAATGTACATTTTTAATAAAGTCCACTTATCCCTTAACTCCTACCTTATCAAAATATTTGGTTTAGTTACCACTTAATGCCTGCCATGTAAAAATAATATTTAGACTCTTTACCTTTTTGATTCTAATATTAAATTCATATACGAGTTCCGTACAAAAATCTTGTTATTTTACCATCCTGTATGTTATTCTCGGATTGATTTTCACTCTGTTTTCATCAAGATACGGGATCAACGTTCTGTATATGATTGTCCAGTCTACGATCGGCCATTATGATCCATTTAGAATATCATGGGTCATGATGGTGTATAGATGACGAAAGTACGGATCCCTGAGGTACCCCCGGCTTCATTTTGTACGATCATGTTATTGTGTTACCGATTGAAACCAATTAAATGGGACCTTATGGCAAGTGACATCTCGTTTGAAAGGTATTTAGAATACCTATTCAGTCATACTATTTTTTTTTGGATTTACGATGTTTTTGATGGTTAAAATAAATAAACACTAAAATTTGAGTTTCGCTTTTAATTAATAAATATTTAAGAAGAAGTTTTTATAATAATTGTTCAAAATGTGCTTCATCTACTTCCTGGCAGTAAAATATCCTATTATTAAACTCTTGTCGGACTCGATTAAATGTGTCGGAGGAAATTGCCCTACATTCTTCAGCTATAGCGTAAACTTTAGATTTAAGATATCTCCACAGAAAAAAATCTAAAGGTGTTAGGTCCGGTGACCGAGCTGGCCATTTGTTTATCAATACCAATATTTGGTCGACCCGATCATTTGGCATCATGAATACTACCTGTTTGTTGAAACTTATGAAAAAGCTCCCTCTAATAAGTCCTCGATATAGGGCGATCGGGGTATCTCTCATTAAAAATGCGTTCCGCCGCATGAAAATTATTTCCACTTTCCACAATAATTAAGATAGCTGTTACTTTGTCAGCTAGAGCACGTACCATTTTGTTTATGTAGATACTTAAACGTCTCGTTAAACAATAATTAAACTAAAAATTCAATATATCGCCTGTAAAAACATCAATTAAAAATTTCAGCCTTTTGACAATTAACCATAGGCGGACTTTTGAATCTTTATTAATTAAAAGCGAAACTCAAATTTTAGTGTTTATTTATTTTGACCATCAAAAACATTGTAAATCCAAAAAAAATAATATGATTGAATAGGTATTCTAAATACCTTTCAAACGATGTGTCACTTGATATAAGGTCCCATTTATTAATATTATTGGTTTCAGTTGCCTATTACCTCACCTGTAACCACTAGTAGAGAAGCTTACAATAGTTCATTTTCACCCTCTAAATTTCACCGTTCAAAAAAAAAGAGGGGAAAGGGACTTTTGAGAAGCACTGTATAAGTTTTTTTATAATATGTACGGGAAAATCATTTACAAAGATTTTGTGTATCAGCCCTCCGGACCAGACGGTGAAGGCTTCTCGGTGTCATTTGCTACCAGCACTATTTGTTTATCGCTTTTTTGCATGACGTGTTACTCTTAAAATCTGCGGGACAGTGATACGTCCTTCTTTAAAGCCGTACTGGTAATTTTGCGATAATTTTCAAACTATTTTGTGAAGTCTAGTCAGTAAGATTTTTTCCACTACTTTGGCAAGACTGTGGTACTATTGATTAAGATTATCTGTTGTAAAGTAATTCACCTTCTCTGCTTGTCGGCGAATAGGAGAACTGATGGGTTTGTTTGATGTTTAAATTCAAAGTTCACATTATTTTAACAAGATTTAATAAACATTACAAACCATTTACATGTAGTAATATCACAAAGTACGTTGATTATTAATACTGTTTCACAAGTTGCAAGGTAACAACTTGCTCAGAACATTATTCACTTGGTAACATCATTCACTTGGTAACTCCATTGTAAGGGATAACAAAATCAGAAGTTGCATATTTGCGCGTCATAGCTGCCTCGAGTTTTATAAAATATGATTGACATCTTAGGTTGTAGTGAGAAGAATAAAGTGTTACTTCTCTATCGGCTAGCGAGCCGGAGATATGAAATGAAGTGACGATCGCAGCTAACTGGACTGTATGTGATAAACTACTGATTACTGAAGCTATCTGTTCGGCTTGTTCGACCATTTCTATTTATGCGCCATCCCTACCAATGGCTTATCGAACTTTCTAGAACCTTTTTAGCGCGGCATAATATTAACTCAGACTGTAACTGCTTTTAAATTCAAACTGTTTGTAGTAGGTCATTTCCTTTGCATCGAAAGTGTAGCACTGAGCTACACCACTTCTGAAAATATCGTTCCATTTATACAAATTGTATGGATAGAATGATATTTTCAGAAGTGACGTATCTCAGTGCTACACTTTCGATGCAAAGGAAAAGACCTAGTTTATACCTGCAAGGAGGATGGATATATTGCGATTTATTAATCTCGGAACTTTAAGTTAATTCGCAAGCTTAGTTAATACTATTTTTTATATTTGTATTATTAATTAAATTATTAGTGTTTGAATGGATTATTATTAAAAAATTAATTGTTTAATTATTTATTGATTGATGAGTTTGACACTCAGGGCTGGGCTGAGCTGATGTACTAATAAAATATGTTGGATGCATTTGCAACATAAATGTGTTTTATTTTAAAATTCAATGTTGCCACTTCTCTCAACTGGACAGGATAATATATGGAAATTCTACTACAAAACACAATAATTATTCTAATAAAAATTTTCTGTTTAGTTTGAGTCATCATTTAAGCCGAAGGTACTTGGTAACTGGCAGGTCCCTAAGTTAAATGTCGACATACCTAAATCTAGAAGAGGAAAAACGAAAGTTGTAGCAAATGAGAGAGGTCACTTGTTGCCGAATGTTAAGGGGGCCAATCCTTGGGGTAATTTCACGGGCACTTGGCAGCTACCGAAAAAAATAGATAAAATATCAGGTAAGAATGATCGAATGTGACCTGAAGGGACATGGTTATTATTAAATGGTTTTTCTTTTAGCCTATCAACTAAATGGTTTAATAAGAAATACACAAACAGAGAGTAAAAAAACCATCGAAACACATGCCACACAAAATCCTGATAATGGAATGAAAACAAATGAAGAGGTAAGAATCTCCAAAATACTATTTGTGTCATAAAAGTTGAAAATGTTGAGAAAGATTGCATAATTACTATGGCGCCATCTACGTTATGTTTGCTAACCATTTATCGTAAATATAAGTTATGCTTAGAAGGGGCTAGGTGGGTCAGTGGTTAAAGCCTAAAATTTGATATTGTGGGTTACGGCTTCCAATCTTTCCAAGGACAAGAAGTTTTAAAATTACTAATTTAAAAATTTGTCTAATCTATTAAATTATGCTTTGTACTTTGGCGGAAAATATTTTAGTTTATTTTAAAAGTATCCACCATTTTTTATTTAAAAATCCTTAAGTAATTGACATTTAAATCGACAATCACTTTAGCAAAGGCTTCATATAAATTTGCCAGTATTTTTTTAATAGTAATTAACACGGTGTCGGTAATTATATGCGAGTAAGGTGGGTTTAGCAGAAAAATAAATAAAATCCTTTAAATCTCAATATAGCTATATATTATGAACAGTTTCGAAGTATTATATTAACTTGCAATCTAAAAGTGGAAAAAGTAATGGTCAGATTTGTTTAATTGAAATTTACAATTAGAAATAGATTAAATTTGTTTTTAAGTAAAAAAAATCCGTTTTGAATTAAACTATGCAGAGCGAAAATTCATTGTAGTCACGAGATGAATTACTTCGTTAGAATTAAATAATTCTCAAACAATTATATAAAATATTGTCACGTTATGCGTGTTCTTAATAAAAATGTCACGTTTTACGGGATCTTTAATAATTAATGGACTATCTATGTCCCGGGGGTTGAATAACAAAATATATGAATCCGGGCCTCAATCATGTAAACACTATTTTGCCTTAAACTTGGCTTCGTTTAACTTTCTACACTTGATGTTAGAACCTAACACGTCCCTGAAAAGAAGCTGAAGAAAACAGTGTTCTAAAAACAATTATAATTTAAAATGATATTATACAAAATATATCCTAACTCGACATACACAAATATAGGGCTCAATATATTAACAAATAGACGATAAAAGATTAACTTTCTAACTCCAACAAATATCTTGGGCACATGTTACAACCCTTAGCTTACTATTCAAAACGCAATTATTCAAAAATACAAAATAAAGACTTTTAATTTAGACTATAGAGATCCTGAGCTGGAGCTGCTACTGGGAATTTCCTACAATAGGGGCCTCCTATGGGGATGATCCTTCCCTGTGGAAAAAGCCCTGCGCGTCCCCTTGACATTACCTTTTTAACTTTTCCATAGTTTTAAGAAACTAATGTTTAATAATTATTAAATAACCAACCTTACACATGATTGCAATTTAAAACAGATTGTCGACATAATTAAACAAAGTTTTATGTACAGGATGTTATTTAAATAATTAATTAAAATTAGAAAAAAATATGAATTTATACGAAGCCTGACAATATTTAAAAAAATACATTTAACATAATATAAAAATAATAACTGAAAAACACTTATTTTTAGTTTAAGGGAACGTCTATCAACAAAAGTAGTGCGAGAAATCACACATTGTTTGAAAACTAATGAACCATCCTATTTGTCTTCCTTTATCCTGTAAAGGTCTTATAGATATTGTCGGTCATCATCAGATATTGCAGGTCTTGGCCAATATATTCATGGTTTATCCCAAGAATAATTATTATTTAACCAATGGAAAATTATACAAATTAATAGAACATACAGCAGATATTTGGCAAAGATTTGTTTCCTCACAAGCAACATTTTTAGGTCCCGTATTCACATTCTATATAAATAACAGACTCATATCTGCCTAATCTGAAAAACCCATTAGTGTTTCAGATGAGAATGGTCCTAATAGTATACGACAACAAAAACTGATGGGCAGTTTTAAATACAAGCTGAAAAAGATATTAAAATAATCATAAATGCCTTACTGTAACTTTTATCGTCTGACCGCGATATTACCCGTTCATTTTCACTCTCGTAGGACCTCCAAAGTGCCATTGCTGATAAATAATATTTACAGTCCACTAATTCACAATATTATAATACAAAATAAATTATAAACCCTCTAAATACCAAACGACAAAAATCTCCGGGACTGCAAGCCAAATTAATCTTTATATCTCAACCAGCTACGCCACTGGATTTTACAAATCATTCTAAAATACTGAAAAAACTTGAGCCCTGATGAAAATACACAAGCAAATTACTGCCTTATTTATAAACTATGTAAATTCATCAATCGGTCTGTTCTACTGTATACTAAATACAGGGTTTGGTAGGTATGTATTTTGTTTCCTTTCTGTCTATAGTACCATTACCGTAAAAAAAACTTGGAACGAGCCCTATAAATTCAGTTAAAAGTAGATTTATTCAATTATTCATATTAGAACAAGTGGGTTTATATTCTAGATTTGCTAATTTAACATCGTGTCATACCTTGTCGAACACGACATTAGGCGCATAGGGTCGGCTAGCATTCTACCAAAACAAATATTATAAAGTAATTTCAGATACTTAATTATTTATCGTTGAATGTAGAACTGATCGTTTATTATATTTTTGTTTTTTTATACCTCAAAGTGTTTTAAAGGGAAATGTACATAGGTTAACTGTATGTATAATACTTATTTTTCACTGTAATTTTAAAAAATCGTTATAAAAGTTAATGTTTTAGTTAACTAAGGTTCTAAGAATTCCTACTGATATATCTAAAACTACATACAAATTTGAAAGAAATTTTCAAATTCAAATACCAGCCCGAGAATCTGAACGCGTAGGGTATGCAAACGGTTAAAAAACCAAGGAAGGAGCCGAGTCTAGGAGAATATGCAACAGTGTTTCTGACCGAACTAATAGCCATACAACATTGTGCAAGAGAACTATTAAATCAGCAAGTATCAGGCAAAACTATTGCCATCTACTATGATAGCGAAGCAGCTGTAAAGGCAACTCTGTCACCAGAAATCAAATCACAACTGGTGAAAGACCTGACAGAGCTAAGTAGTAAAAAAGTGACCAGGCTACAAATAAAGATACCAGGGCAATGAAAAGGCTGACGAACTAACCCGAAAAACCTTATATAAGGCCATGATAGGCATTGTGCAAGGCATCCATAAGCCAGTGGATGAAAAAAGTCTCAAGAATTATGGAAAAACTATACAGGATTGAGACAGGCCAAAGAGTTCATTAAGGAACCGTCGCGCGTGGGCCAAGTTCAGAAAGACCTACTTGGTCAAAACGACGACAATAGTAGGTCTGCTTACCGGATACTGTCACCTAAGAAGGCACATGAGTATCATCAATCTAGAAGAAGAAGAAGAAACATCAATCCAGTTCCTGTCATTGTTAAGGGCTGGCTAGATTGAGGTTTCTAATACTAAGTAAATAAAAGCCGGTACCTGGATATCACACTAGACGATATAGGAAGTTTTGGCGAAACCGAACACATCCTTAGGGTAGTCAAAAAGGCAGAGGAAAAAGTGGGCACGCTCTTAAGACTAATGAGAAATGTAGAAGGCCCAGAGAGCCGAAATTACAGCTGAGCGGAATGGTCCACTTAATAATATTACAAGTACCGAGTGAAAGCTTTTAGAGAAAATATGGAGAAATCCCAGAGGAAAATTACATTAAGGTGGCGCTCGCATATAAAAGGCAGTGTTAAGAGCAGCGCATGTAGTCGCTGGGATAATGATCATCCACCTGCTGGTGGAAGAAAGAAGGTACATGCACCAAACAGGAAATGAAAGACTAGAAGAATCGAAAAAAGAGGCTAGGGAGGTAACAATAAGAGCCTGGCAGCAAAAGTGGGACAAAACCACCAGAAACAGCCCAATAGACGAATGCAAACATTGAAGCATCAAGCATCGACTACTGGATGACGCAGGTGTGACAGAACACGGGTCGTTCAGAACATTAATACTGAAAATTGGGAAATCTGATGATGAGAATTGTATGTACTGTGAGGAGGAGGTCACGCCAAAGCACACTTTTAGAAAATCTAATAAGAAGGAAAAATGAAAACTGGGAAGCGGTCAGGGGCTTGCTAAAAAATATCATGCAACTTAAAGAGAAAACCGAACTAGAACAAAACTAGGAAAGACGAGACTACGGTGGTATGACCAGTAGTGAGTAAAACGGGGTTTTCACTAAACGAACTACAGTACCATTTAGCGATAAAGAGATAAAGAGAGAATTATATCCATAAAGAATTTCTCCTCCATTACAAAAAAAGAGAAAGTGAAGAAAAGCCAGAAGCATGTAACTACATGCGGGAGCCACTGTCTAATAAAAAAGACCAAGCTAGACAACATACTCTAAATAACGGAGTCCCACAACAGATCTGAAAAGGTCGCGATGGACAAGAAGAAATCCTTTCAAATCTAATCTAACTACGGATCTGTAATACATTTATATAATATTATGGAATAGTACTAAAATAATGCTATAGTGAGACATTTTAAAAGTACCTACAAAAAAAATATTTTCCGTACTATACTATAAAAAAAATATTTAAATTCTAAAGTTGGTAAATTATTAAAAAATTTGGACATCTACAACGAAATGAGTAAATCTAAAAAGACCACAATTTAAATCAGTTTTTACTCTCTTTTGAAATATGTTATCAGATAAGCAAAATTTTGGTGTTGTTTTTGAGGTGGAGAGAAATTACCAAATTTTGTTAACCCGGGCCAGGATTTTAATTATGGTTTGCTCTAGCAAGGAAAATCTAAATTTTAAATTTTTATACCAAGTGGTTGAGTTTTGACCGAATAAAAATTCAGGAGGTATATAATTCTAGGTAATTTGATACGATAGACACATTAATAATGAATGATTTCGAATCATACAAGTGTTATACACCTATGATTAACGTATGTACATTTCCCTCATATTTTATAAAATTTTACAAATAAATTCGAGATTTTTAATATTATTTATGATTACAGGAATATGACAAAGAAAATATCCAACCAAATCATGAATATGTACCAGGTGAATACACTGAAAAAAAGTACCAACATCCGAGCCACGATGAGCTAGTTGCCAATCGCTATCCTACCGAAAAACCGCTTCCAAATGGTTTTCCAAAAATTAGAGAAGACTTTTCCAGGCCACTGGAATCAGAAAAAAACCTTTCTAAAGAAGTAGACGAATTTTACGATACGCACAAACAAATGCTACAAACCGAAGTTCCGAGAAAGGCTTCTCCAGCTACGAAGAAAGATAGACTGTTTTCCCCAATAATCAATGCTATTTCTAATTTTGCAATGGCGAAAAAACTTCATCGAGAAAATTTGGAACACTATCCTCTGCCGGATACTTTAACTGACGCCATGTATAGAAAAATATTGTTGGAGAGGCAAAGCAAAGGGGAAAAGGGGGATGAAAAACCTTTTGCTACAGGTATGTTATAATTTTACTATCAGGCATTCCAACGACCTGTCGAACAATAGATACCAGTGGGAAGTTCTCGTATATCTAAGGGGGTAGCGACATAGTCTTGCATGTTACACACTATTTTTATTCGAAATAGTAGTCGCCAAACCTGCCAATTTATGAAGAAATGCAAAATAATATTTTTATTGTGTTTCACATAAAATATTTAAATGTAATCCATTATTCATGATTTTACGTAGGGGCAAGACGGGGTAGACGGGCAAAACGGGTTTTCGCATTTAAAACTATACCACTAGCGACATCTATTCGTCATTGGGGTAATAACATTTTTAACGGTCCCAGCCATAATTTTAATAAAGTTTTCAGCCACTAGTACAAAGCGATCTGCGGAAGTGAACGCACGTGCTACAGAATTTACGAAAAATACAACTTTGGCCGGCCATTTTAAGCAAGGTAAGTTCCTGTGGTAAGTTCCTACTATAATTTTTTTTAAGTTCTCCCTGTTATTGTAATCCTCATAATATAATGTTTTTATTGTTTCAGATGGTGTATAAGTACAAACGGTCCACCAATAGACAGGGTTGGTCTAATCTAAGTATGGAGGAGGCCGTTAATGCTGTAGTTAGAGGTGAAATGGGATACCATCGTGCATCTAGCCAATTTAATGTTCCGCAAACCACTTTGGAACGATACGTCAAAAAACGAAGAAGTAATCCAAATGAGGAAAATCTTTCAACAACTTTGGGTAGATATAAAACCGTTTTTCTACCGCGACAGGAAGAAGAAATTGCAAGCTATTTGAGAGATATGGAGGGTCGATTATTTGGATTAACCATGACTGAATGCAGAAAGCTCGCCTTTCAGTTAGCCGAGTTGAACAATATTAATCATCCTTTCAGTAAAACTTCTCAAATGGCAGGAAAAGGTTGGATGCAGGGCTTCTTGAGAAGACATCCGGAATTATCAATTCGAAAACCAGAAGCTACGTCAGGAATGCGCGCAAGAGGATTCAACGAGGTTGCCGTCTCGAAATTTTTCACCCTCCTTGAAGAATTGGTCGAAAAATATCATTTTACAGCACAGCAAATATACAATGTCGATGAAACTGGGATTACAATGGTTCCCAAAAGTGCTTCTAAAATTATTGCGATCAAAGGTAAACGTCAAGTAGGGGCTTTGACATCAGCAGAGAGAGGCGAATTAGTAACTGCAGAAATATGTTTCTCTGCGTCAGGTTCCTACATGCCTCCCTTGTTGATTTATCCGCGCAAGAAAATGCAGCAAGGATTTTTGGATGGATTAGTTCCTGGAGCCTGGGTAGAGTTAAATCAAAAGGGTTGGATAGACATGGAAATATTTTTTAATGCTTATTGCAAAAGATGATTCAAGGGACAGCGAAGTTAGTCATGATAGTGATGCAGAATGCCTTTATTGTGGAGACCTTTATTCCATATCTTCCGAACGATGGATCGCTTGTTCCATGTGTTTGGGCACACAATTCATGCGCCGGAGTTGACGACGAAGACAGCGAGGCCACATTAATATGTGAATTTTGCAGTTAAATAGTTATTTTTCAGTTAAAATTATCGACAGCCCATTTTGCCCTCCCGGGCGGGCAAAACGGTTTAATTTACAGTTTTGACATTTTTTTGTTTTCGTAACTAAGCGTTTAACAATTTAAGAAAAACAGTTTATCCTTTTGTTTTTTTAAAGTTTATACTTGACAAAAAAATATACGTTGTTTCTACAAGACTGCTTGTTGGTTTTTTATTCACTTTAAAAGTTTAGGTACCCCATATTGCCCGTCTTTCCCCTATAGTAGATAGAATACATCGTATGTCGCAACCCTTAGATATACCAAATCTTCCCACTGGCAATTCATTTGTTTGGAATGCCTAATATTTCATCAAGTCATTATTTCCATAGTGTACTTGATTAAAATTATGTTTATATATACAGGATGTTATGAATAATACCCGCATAATTTGTTAATAAGCAAACAAAATATTTACGTAGTGATGTTCTAAATTAACCGTTTTCCCTAAAATTTAAACTTCTAAACAATATAATCTACCATATCCGGCTAAATTGAACATTAATTTCGATAAATAAAATTTTTTTTTCCAGTTAGCAACGTTCAATTTTTTAATGTCCTATTCAACCTCATTTCCCCATCGGTCTCTGGATTCTATCTATTGTCATCCTCAAAATAGGTCTCACCCATCGTATTATTTGCGCTTTGATGACGACACCTGTTATAGCAGCTTACTAATTTAATTACGGCCCTTCATTCTCACTTAGTATTCTACAGAAGCTCCTTCAACGTCTCTTCTTCGTCTCCTTCAATGTTTCCTCTTCTTCGCCTTCGAGTCTTCAGAGCTTAGGTCTTTTTGGCAATAATAGGTACTACACATATACGTTTTTTCATTGTAAATTGCAGCTAAATAACAGGTCACCTTGAATGTCGTTTGCCTTATTCGATTCGAATTAATATTGACGGATATAAGCTCATAGCTTAGGTTCGTTTATAATGCTACTACGCATGTTTTTTTTTGTTTTAAATTACATCTAAATGACAGGTCACGTTGTTGAATGCCATTTTTCCCATTCGATTCGAATAAACCATAACAAATGTGCCAAGTTCTTTTGGAAATGTTACTGCGCATATTTTTTTATTGTAAATGACATCTAATGTATGTTACTGCGCATATTTTTTTTATTGTAAATGACATCTAATATATCAATTTCTTTTGGAAATGTTACTGCGCATAATTTTTTTTTTGTAAATGACATCTAAATGTCAGTTCAAGTTGAATATAGTTTATTCCATTCGATTCGGACCAATAATAGTGGAAATATAAGGACCTTTTGGCAATGCTACACTGCACATGGTATGTATGTCTCGAGTTTTATGAATCATACGTCACTTTTTATCCTCTTCTTCGAGTCCCCATACGCTTTTTCATTATTCTACCTCACTCCTTTTTGTTCTCTTCTCAGTCTTTGAGTCTCCAGAGACTTCTTATTCAACGTTTCTTCTGCTCCTACATCACTAGCACTCTACCTACTCAAATAGATATACCCTTCGTAGAGCCGAAAATCCAATGCTTAAAACAGCTTAAAATCGAAATGCGCCTGCTCATCTGTCGTGGACATGTCGCCGACAGGCTCTACCACATACTTTGATTACTATACGGTGCAAGAGAGAGGTCCGACACGCCTATGAAGACTAGAGATAAGGAGGCGAATCGGCCTTGGTCAAATTTCAAATTTCCGTCCCTATTTTTATGGAGTTCCAAAAAACTACTGTAGTTGGCGGGTGGCAAAATAACGACGTCTATTTTCTATGCATGTCAATGGAAATTAAAGTGATTTTTGTAAAATTTAGTGAAAAGAATAAAAATAAGTTGAAATAAAGAACCTGACTACAAGTAACAATGAGTAACGAAAAACGACAAAGCAGGATTTTCTTCGTGCCCGGTTGCAAAACGGGATATAAATCCGATATAAAATTAAAGAAATCACAAGGAGATAAAAATCCAAGCCTTTTTAAAGCTCCTAGTGTAAGTAAAATAATGTATTTATTTCTAAATAATATTCGCGATTCAAATTAATTTTCGCGCGCCTGTCATTTGTCACGTATAAGTAGGATGTTTGTTTATTTACGTGTTGTGGGATTTTGTATTTGTGATTTTTTAACTGTTTTTAGATCATCATCATCATCATCTGAATTAGGGCGTGGTTCAAAGCCCACTTGTACTGAAGCTCTAGGCTTATTGTACCCCTCACAGTTTCTATCCCATCAGATTGATTTTCTTGATGAATTCAAGAATATGTCTGATGGGCGCTTTCGCGATTTCTTCAGGTTCCGGATATTGTACCCCGAAGTACCATTCCCGTTCCCATTTAAGGTTCCGGCAGTGGCATAGTATGTGAATAGGAGTTTCGTCCTCCTCTTCACATATTCTGCATAGGGAGTCATCAGATATCCCTAAGAGATTTAGGTGTCTTCTAAGGCCGCAGTGTCCTGTAAGGAGTCCTATTACGGCCTTGAGTTCGCTTCTGCTAAGGTTTAGCAGTTGATGTTGTCTGCTCGTGGATGGCCCCTCTATGAATCTTTTGGACTGTCTAAGTCCAGGAAGTTCTATCCAGAGCCTATGGTGTTCTCTTTTTATTTGTTCCTTTAACACCCATTTAACATGTTGGTATGAGATACCACATGTGGGTTCTGGTCCAATAAGAGTTTTTTCCGCTCCCTTCCTTGCTAGGAGGTCTGATTTCTCGTTTCCAAACACTCCCTCATGTCCTGGCACCCATTCAAGGGTAATCTTGTTATGTTCTGCCAGAGCCTGGAGGGATTGTTGGCAATCAAATATTGATTTAGATTGTACTTCTACCCTTTTTAGTGCTTTAAGGGCTGGCTGACTGTCTGTCATGATAACGATTCTCTTATCTCTAAGAGAGTCATTTAGCATGACTTTGGCGCAGGCTTTTATTGCTGCTACTTCAGCCTGGAAGACTGTTGTCAGTGACCCCAGGTTCAAACTAATTGTCCTCCCTGAGTTCTCATGGTAGATCCCAGCTCCTGTGCTGTTTTTCATTTTCGAACCGTCTGTATACCAGATTGATTCGTTTTGTTTTTCCCTTTTTTTCCCGGCTTTTGGCCCTTTCTGGTATTTGAATATCAAAAGGTTTCTTGAAGTCGTGAATAATGGGCGTTCTATCCGATGGCATTCTTAGTACCGGATTTTGTTTTAATTTCTCTAATATCATTGTGTGGTGTCCTTTTCTCGAAAGTTCCCATCCAAATCCATTAGTATGCCGCCGCCATAGCCTCCTTCTCCACCACAAGGTGAAGTGGAGGAAGACCTAGCAGTAGCTCCATTGCTGCTGTGGGCGTAGTTCTAAATGCCCCTGTTATTATTAGGCAGGCTAGTCTTTGTACCTTGTCTAATTTTCTGTTAGCTGTTATGCTTTTAGTCTTGTGCCACCATATGACTGATGAG